TTCAAATGTTTTATTCATTCAACAAGTACTTTGTGGTAGATGCTAGAAATACAAAGACAAGAAAGAAAGAAAGAAAGAAAGAAAGAAAGAAAGAAAGAAAGAAAGAAAGAAAGAAAGAAAGAAGAAAAGGAAGGAAGGAAGGAAGAAAGAAAGGAGGGAAAGAAAAAGAAAAACAAAGAAAGAAAAGAGAAGGAGGGAAAGAAGGAAGAAAAGAAAGGAAAGAAAGAGGGAGGGAAAAAAGGAAAGAAGAAAGGAAGAAGGAAAGAAAGGAACAGAAAGAAAGAAAGAAAGAAAAAGAAAGAGAAAGAAAGAAAGAAAGAAAGAAAGAAAGAAAGAAAGAAAGAAAGAAAGAAAGAAAGAAATGATGGAAAGAAGGAAGAAAAGAACGAAAGGAAAGAAAGAGGGAGGGAGGGAAAAAAGGAAAGAAGAAAGGAAGAAGGAAAGAAAGGAAGAAAGAGGAAAGGAAAGAAGGAAGAAAGGAAGGAGAGGAGGGGAGGAAGAAAGAGAGAGAGAGGAAGAGAAGGAAGGAAGAAAGCAAGAAAGCATTCTTGCCCTTAAGAAACTTACATTCTTTTGAGAGGAAGCAGCAGATACACAATAAATATAGAATATATACAAAGTAATTGGTGGGTTGGTACTTGTAATTGGGGGTGTGGAGGAGGCAGAATTAAGATAGGCCTCATATATAAGGGAGGTATTTGAGCTAATCCTTGAAGGAAATCTGAGCTAACATTTATATAGCGCTCTATAATTATTATCTCATTTGATCCTCACAACAACCTTGGGAGTCAAGTGCTATTATGATCCCCATTTTACAGATGAGGCAGACAGAGGTTCAGTGACTTGCCCAGGGTCACACAGCTAGTTGAGTATCTGAGGCCATATTTGAACTCAGGTCTTCCTGAGTCCATGCCCAGCGCTCTATCCACTTTGCCACCTGGCTGCCCTAGATTCCATTATTTCATTTCATAAACTCAATCACAAAAATTTATCCAGTCCCCACTATATGCCAGGTGCAGTGCTAGGCATTGGAATTCAAAGACAAAAGCCCCTGTCCCCAAGGAAGTGATGGTCCTGCTGTTTTCTGCCCTGGTTAGGCCCACTTTGGAATCTTGTGTACCCTTCTGGGAAACATGTTTTCAAAAGGATTTCTATAGACAAACTAGAATGGGTCTGGAGGAAACCAAATTTTATATAAAGAGGGTGACAGTCTTGGGGATGTTCAGCTTGGAGGAGAGAAGGTTTGGGTGGGTGGTGGGGAGGGGAGGGCATAGTTGCTATATTTGAGCCCAGTCTAGCAGAAGGAATGCAAGATTTAGGGATTGGTCCACTTGGCTTTGATCCACTTTGGCCAAGATAGGCCTCATGGGTTGGCCTAGATGGTCTCTGGGGTCTTTTGGAATTTTAAAGCTGTGACTCTTATGAGTGATGTCATCCCATCTGCATGGGTATCATTTGAACAAGGATTGAGATTCATTCTTCTGGGTCTCGGAGCAGGGGTGGGAGGATGGGGAGGAAGAGAATGTTTCAATTCAGAATCAGGTAAGTTCCACTGAATTCAACAAATATTTACTAAGCAACTACTGTATGTCAGGCACTGTGCTAGATTCTAGGCTACAGAGATGTTCAACAGTCCTTGTCCTCAAGGAGCTTGAGTGACATGGGCAAGTCTCCTAACTCAGCTGAGTCTCAGTTTCTTCATCTATAAAGTGGGGATAGATAGGTTAATAGGAAGCTCAAATGAAACACTGTATGTAAAGCTCTTTGCACACCTTAAAAAGTACTAACAACTGTCAGTTATCTACACCAAAGAGATCAGAGACAGAGGAAAAGGACCTATCTGGACAAACATATTTATAGCAGTTCTTTTGGTAATGGTAAATAATTGGAAATTGAAGGGATGCCCATCAAATGGGGAATGGCTGAACAAGTTATGGTATATGAATGTGATGAAAGATCATTGTGCCCAGGCACTGTGCTAGAATCTGTGTTACAAAGATGTTCAATGGTCCTTGTCCTCAAGGAGCTTACATTCTACTGGAGGAGACAACATTCATACAAGGATAATCCAAGGGAATTGAAGAGGACAAGAGCCTTAACAGCCAGGAAAGCGGAAAGGGATGAAGCTGGTGGCATCTGAGTTGAGCCTTTCTTGATGGAGGCCCTGAGTGTATGAAGGTGAGAGATGGAGCCTCAAATTCAAGGAATACATAGTCATCCAGTTTGGCAGAAATGTGGATTGTGTGAAAGAGAATAACACAAAAGAAAGCTGGGGGTGAGGTGGGGAGGCAGATTGTGGAGGGCCTTTTAATCCCTGGTTTAGGAGTTTTTTAATCTTAGCCTAGAGGCAATAGGGAGCCACTAAGATTTTTGAGTAGGGGACCCACATGTGCAGATCGATATTTTTAAGGAATATTACTTTGACAGATGAGTGGAGGATGTACCAGAGATGGGGAAAGGATGGAGGCAGGGAGAAGAATTAGGAAGCTATTGCAATAGTCCAGGAAAGAGATGGTGAAGGACTGAGCTGATGGTGAGGGTGGTGGCTGTGAGTGGAGAAAAGGGGTTAAGATGTGAATATTATTGAAGGGAATTTGATAGGAACTGGCAATTGATTGGATCTGGGAACGAGGGAGAGGGAAAGGAGGAAGGGTGACTCTGAGACTGTAAATATGGTGCCTTTCATAGAAATGGGGAAGTTAGGGAAAGGAGTGGATCTTGGGAGGGAGATGACGAGTTCCCTTTTGGACATGTTGAGTTTGAGATGCCTAAGGGACATGAAGGGGATGTCAGGAAGGCAGTTGGTGATGCAGGAGTATCAGGAGAGAAGCTAGGGCTGGCTATGTGGTTTGAAGAGCCATTTGCACAGAGATGATCGTCAAACCCATGGGATCTCCATGCCCCTGAGGACATCACTCCCGCCGGGCCCCAATCATCAAACATTTTCACATTTGGTTTTTACAGCAATCTTGCAGGGTAGGTAAGATAAGCATGATTTGTTTGATGAATGGGGGAAATGGAGGCACAGAGAGATTAAGTGCCTGGAGAAAAGTCACACATTGAGCTGTCGGCAGAGCTGAGACAGGAAGCTAGAGAATCAGTGGTGCAATTGACTTGAAATCAGCAAAGTCTGGATTCAAATCTTGACTCAAACACTTACTAGTTGTGTGACCCTAGGGAAGTCACTTTAGCCTCTTTGTGCCTCAGTTTCCTTATTTGTACAACAAAGAGATTGGAACCAATGGCCTCAAAGGTCCTTTCTGGTTGTAAATCTGTGATCCTATGATTTCCAGATTCCTAGCTCATTATTCTTTCCAGATATATTTCAACAAAGTCATTGAGAGTAGGGCTAACCAAGTCGCTTCCCTGCTGTGCCTCAGTTTCCTCTATAACCAAAAGAGACTAACCCGGCTCATGTCAGTACCTAGCATCCATAGTTGGGATAGTGGATGCTTTATTGACTCAGTGGAATGAATGAATGGATTGCCAGGGGGAAATCACCAACCTGACCATAGGGGTTGCTTTGCAAATGTACAAAGTTAAAAATCAAACAGTGCCGCCAAATCACCAATAGAATCCTCTGCATTTGCGTAAGGCTACTTCGCCTGTTGCCAGCTTTCCTGGCTATTTGAACCTCACCTAGGAAGAAATGTGAGACAGGTGTTATTGTCCCCATTTGAAAGATAAAAAAGTGGACAACCCACCCCATACACTTCCTTCAGTGCAAAACCTAGTGATGTGTGGAAAGAATACTGAGCTCCCAATCAGGAGCCTGAGGTCCTGTCCTGGCCCTGCTACTGACTCACTGGGTGACCTTGGACAAGTCCCTTTGGCTCTCTGGGCCTCAGTTTCTCCACCTGCAAAAGGCTAGATGGTCTCCAAGGTCCCTCCCAGCTCTGATATTCTGAGGCTGAGAGGTTGATTAACACATAAATTTGTGGTAGTGCCAAACCTGGAATCTTGGTCTCCTGTCTTCCCACCCTGTGCCTCCTAGAAGGAGCTAATTAGGTTCTGGGTTTGAATTCAGTCAAGTTAGTCTGATGAGCTTTGTCAGCAGCCAGGAGAAGGAAGGCAGGAATGTTTAGGTTTTGGCTTTATATCCCCAGCCTCCACTTAGCACAGTGCCTGGCACACTGTAAGCATTTAAAAAATATTTGTTGAGTTCAGGAAGGAACAGAAGAAAAGCAGGAGAGAAGAAAGAAAAGGAAGGAAGGGAGGAAGGGAGGAAGGAAGGTGTTAGGTAAGAAGAGAAAGAAGGACAAAAGAAAGAAGGAGGGAGTGAAAGCAGGATGGAAGAAGGAAAAGAAAGAGATGATGAAACAACGGGAGGAAGGTAAGAAGGTCTAGTAAGGAAGGACAAAAGGAAGTGGGTCGTGTGAGAAAGAGGGAAGGAAGAAAATAGGGGGCTAGGGAAGAAGAGGGTGAAGAAAGAAGGCAAGGAGTGAGGTAAGAAGGGAAAGAAAAGAAAGAGGGAAGAAAGAAGGGAAGGAGAGAGGAAGGGAAAGAATGAAAGGAGGGGAGGGAAAGAAGGAGGATAGAAAGAAAAGAGGGAAGAAGGGAGGGAAAGAAGGCAGAGGGAAGAAAGGATGGAAAGATGGGAAGGAAGGCAGGAAAGGAGGGCAGAAAAAAAGGAAGGAGCAAAGGAAGAAAGATGGGAAAGGAAGGAGAGAAGGGACAGGGAAGGAGGGAGGAAAGAAGGGAAAGAGAAGAAGGAGGGAGGAAAGAAGGGAAAGAGAAGAAGGAGGGAAGGGAAGGGAAGAAAAAGAGAAGGATGGAGGAAAGGAGGAAAAGGAGGGAGAAAAGGAGGGAAAGGAGGAATAAAGGCAGGAGGGCAGAAAGAAGGGAAAGAGGATAGTAGGAATAGAAAGATGGAGGGAAGAAGGGAAGGGAAGGAGGAAGGGAGAAAGGAGGGAAGAGAAGTGAGGTAAAGAGTGAGGCCAGAGGGAAGGGAAGGAGGGAGGGCAGCGGCTGGAGAGCGCGGCCGGCCATCTGGGCCTCACCTGAGCCACCACATGTAACGGTGTTCGTAGGGGAAGAAGCTGTGAGGGTCGCTGCAGCAGTAGCGGTGGTCCTGGAAGCCGCAGCAGTAGACAGCGGCCGCCTCGCCTCCCGGTCCCGGGCAGCTGAAGCCACTCACCAGCTCCTTGGCGGCGTTCAGGTAGCTGCTACACGAGCCACTCATTGCGCGCAGCTCAGCGGTGACCCGGCTGGGGCCGGACTAACCGGGGGACGGCCGGGCGGATGGACGCGCCCGACGGTCAGCCAGCCGCGACACGGGTGCGCCCTGGGAGTTCCTGGAGGGCTAGAGAGGAACCTGCTGTGTCCCCTCGGACTGAGTCTGGGCGCGGCCTGCGTCTGGGGGTGGGAGCTCTGGTGAGCCCTCCTGGAGGTGGGGGCTTCCCGAGTCTGACCTATGGCACTCCAGCTCAGGGTCTTGGGCCTCAGGGGGCCGGGCCGTCTCTGGCTCAGAGCTCCTTTTTTCTAGATCAGGAGCCGCTGATTTTCCAGTCCCTGAGTCCTGTCCTTCAACCCCGGGGCTCCAAGCTCAGGAGATCCCCGGGCTCCGAGCACATTGGGCTCAAAGAAGAGGTGTGAGAGAAGCGCTGACCCAGTCAGAGCGGCTGCCTACCGGGGTACTTGTTTGGAGAGGAAAAGGAAGAAGGGAAATGGAAGGGAGGAGAGAAAGAGGGAGGGAACTGAGATGACCTGGGGACAATGAGCGAGGAGTGGGAAAAGAGCAGAAGAGGGAAGGTTAGAGCTGGCAGACCTGAGAGGCCCTCTAGTGTAATCCCTCATTTTACAGAAAAAGAAACTGAGGCCCAGAGGGAAAGGGGAAGGGGAAAGGGGCAAGAATTGGGGCTAAAACCCCGGACACCTGACTCCCAAGCTAGTGTTCTTTTTTTTTCCCTGAAAAGGTAGGAATGAGTGAATGGGTTGGGGGGGGGGAGTTGAAGACAGAGAATTGAGAAACAAAAGAGGCCAGAGGAAAGGAAGGAGAGAGGTGGGATTGGGGAGGGAATTCAATTCAACTACTGTTCGTTAAGATCCTGCTATTGTACATTCAAGGCCCTGTGCCAGGTACTGGGTTTGAAAAGATGAAGTAGACCTTTCTCAGCCTCCCTCCCCCTCTTCCCCCATCCCTACCCGGCAGCTCCCAGTCTAACAGTAGAAAGACATGTCTGTACCCAGGCAACGTGGCAGACGGGGGTCAGTGGGTAAGGGAACAGCAAAGTAACCTTGGAAGCTCATAGGATCCACAGCTGGAAGGGACCAGAGAGAGAATCTTAGCCTTCTCCATTTTATAAAGGAGGAAACTGAGGCAGCACAGAGAGAAGAAGGGGTTTGGCAAGGATCACACAGCCAGAATGTAGCAGAACAAGGATGAGAAGCCAGGTCTTCTGTCTCTTCACTTTGGGCCTTTTCTTCGAGGCTGGGATTCCCCAGCGAGGGAAGACAGCAGGGAGGAAGGAACCGTGGGTGCTGTCAGGGTTTCGTCTGGTTTATTTCCTGAATTTGACTATGAGACAATGAAGGGGCTTCATCTTTTTGTCTCCCATCAGTCTTCCTCCTCTGCCACCTTCTACCCCATTGCTTCAAATGACACAAAAAGATTGCTTTTTTCCTGCTGGAACTTCTAAATTCTCTTAAAACCAGCTCTTTGCTGAGATGCAGACCCTCCTGTGGGAGGATCCCTCTTTGACAACCTGCTGGAACTCTTAAAATCAGAGTGGATTCAAGTGTTTCTACTAAGTATGAGAATCATAAAAGGTCAGAGCTGGAAGGGACCTTAGTACAAATAGTGAGAGTCTGGGAGGACCCTCAGAATGGAAAGTATCAGAGCTGAGAGGAATCTGAAAACATCTAATGTCAGAGTTAGGAGGGTCATTATTTTATTTTATTTTATTTTTTGCTTTCGGGCAATTGGGGTTAAGTGACTTGCCCAGGGTCACACAGCTAGTAAGTGTCAAGTGTTTGCTCTGAGGCCAGTTTTGAACTCAAGTCCTCCTGACTTCAGAGCCAGTGCTCTATCCACTGCGCCACCTAGCTGCCACCTAGCTGCCTCCTAGGAGGGTCTTTAGAATGGAAAATATCAGAGCTGGGGTGGACCTTAGAACATGGAATGACAGAGCTGGAAGAGATCTAAGAACACAGAATATCAGAGCTGGGAGGATGTGAGAGGTTATCTAATCTAACCTCATTTTAGAGATGAAGAAGAGAGGGAAAGGGAGTAATATAGATGAAGAAGGTGAGGAGAGAAAAGGGGAAGGAAGTAAGAGGGGAGAGAAAGAAGAGGCAGAGCAAGATTTGGGAGAAGAGATGACTTTCTTCATTCAATTTACGGCATTTCTTAAATACTTTCTGTACCAGGGTCCTATGCTCAGCACTGGAAAGGCTACAGAAGATGCCAGTCCTCCCCTCAAAGAGCTTATGGCGAAGGGCTGGGGGTGGGAGGTAAGTCAGATGACCAAATATTTCATCTGCATGATCAGTTGTGCACTCAATGTGTCAGACGTCTAACATGACATAGTGGACCTGGAGTTGAGACTTCAGTTCAATTACTCTCTTGCTACTGACATAATGTTTGGGAAAGTCACCTTATTTGGGCCTCACATTCACCATCTGTCAAATGGGGTGGAGGTTGGATTAAATGACCTAGGCTGATCCAAGAAAGATGGGACGCTGCTTCAGGAGGTAGTGAGTTCCCATGTGGTGGAAGGATTCAAGCAGAGGATGGATAATTTATTTGTTGGGGGATAATCAATATTAACAAGTATATATCAAATGTTTACCATGTCATTGGAATAAGCAAAAAAGCAAAAACTTGAAGCAGTCCTTGCCCTTGGGGAGCTTGCATTCTAATGGGGAAGAAAACATGAATCTAAATTGATACACCCAAGGTATATATAGAGTGGATACAAGGTAGCGGTAGAAGAACTAGCTGATGGAGTGACTAGGGAAGGCCTGTTGCAGAACGTAAGGTTTCAAATGAGTCTTGATGGAAGCCACAGATTCTAAAAGGTGAAGGTGAGGAGGGAGGGCATTCCAGGCATGGGGAACAGCCTGTGCAAAGGCACAGAGGCGGGAGATGGGATAGTACAGCTGAATCACAGATTACATGGAGGGGAGTAAATGACAAGAAGCCTGGAAAAGCAAGAAGCACAAGGGTGTGACGTTTTAAATGCTGAGCACAGGAGTTTGTATTTTATCCTAGAGATAACAGGGAATGACTGAGGTTTATTGATTAAGCAGAGGGTGGCATGGTCAGATGTGAGCTGGGTCGATAGGATCAAATCCTCAGAGTGGTCAAGAAGGAGGAGAATTGAGAAAAGGCCATTAGATTTGGCGATGAAGAAACAATTGACAGCCGAGAGTAGTTTCAACTGAATGATGGTGTCGGAAGCTGCATAGCAGAACCAAGTGGAAGCTCTGAGGACAGGTGGCTTTCTCAATGAGTTTAGCTGAGAAGGGGAGGAGGGATGTAGGATGAGAACTGAAGAAGATGGTGGGGTCAAAGGAGGCTTTTTTAAAGGATGCAGGATAGGTGATCATGTTTGTAGGCAGCAGGGAGGGAGCCAGGGGAGAGAGAGAGACAGAGAGACAGACAGAGACAGAGAGAAAGAAAGAGACACAGAGAGTCAGAGACACAGAGAGAGAGATAGACAGAGAGACAGAGACAGACAGAGACACAGAGAGAGAGACAGAGAGAAAGAGGGGGGGAGAGACAGAGGCAGAGGGAGAGAGGGGAGGAGAGGGGGAGAGAGAGACACAGAGAAAGACAGAGAGACACAGAGAGAGATGGAGAGACAGAGACAGAGAGAGACAGAGACAGCGAGAGAAAGGATGATAATGGGGGCAATCTGCTGGATAAGATGAGAGGAGATAGGAACCAAGACTGCATGTAGTGATTGGCCTTGGCAAGGGGAAGGGTCACTTCTTCATCAAAGACTGCAACGAAGGAGGAAATAATGGAAGAAGAGGTCAGAGGGATATGAAATGAGGAGAAAGGGAGAAGAGGGAACTCATGGTGAATAACCTTTTTTTTTAAGGGAAGTATGAGACAAGGTGAGAAAGTAAGGGGATAGGTGAAGAAAGAAGAGATTTGGAACAGCCACTGTGGAGAGTGTTCGAGACGATCAGTTAGTATGAAGTCAAAGGGCCTGGCTGAGGCTAGCTAGCATATCTTTGTATCGGACCCAGTCATCAGGATTTCCTCACTTCCTCTAGTTCTGCTTGGCAGGACATAAGTAGGAATGAGGAGGCTTTTGGTGGGGGTAATACAGGTTTGGGACTTGACAAGGCTTGGTGAACCAGTTCACCAAAGAGTCAAGATTAGGAAGAGAGGAGAGTGTAGCCAGACCATGGGTGAGGGCTAGGGTGGATACTGAGGCATGGGGAGATTGGAAGTCATGGTATGGAAAAAGAGCACAGTTAGGGATAGTAAGGCATGGAGAGCTATGGAATGATCAAAGAGTATGAACAAGTAAAGAAATCTGGGGTTCTTAAACATGGAATGGGATACTTGTAGGTGATGGCAAGATCAGGAGTACAGCCATCCCTGTGTGCAGCTAAAGAGTATGAATAGATTGAAGAACTTAGAAGTCAGGCTACTTGAAGATACATCAATAGGTATTTTACAATTTCCCTAGTATGAAAACAGGGAGCAAGACTGTGAGCTAGGCATTAAACTCATTGAGAAAGGAGGAAGGATGTTCTGGGCCTCATGAGAGGCAACTTGGTGGCCCAGCGGATAGGATAGGGCACTGGGCCTAGAGTCAGGAAGATTTGAGTTAAAATTCAGCCTCAGACACTTACTAGCTGGGTGATCCTGGGCAGGTCACTTAACCTCTGTCTGCCTCAGTTTCCTCAATTGTGAAATGGGGGTAATAATAGTACCTGTCTCCCAAGGTTGTTATGAAGATCAAATGGGATATCCATAAGGACTTAACATAATGCCTGAGACATGGTAGGTGTTTAATAAATGCTTGTTCCCTTCCCTCCCCCCAGTAGATAACAGCCACAGGGTCTGGATTGGGTGATACATTTGGGTAGTGTGAACCTCAAAGGAAGAGAAATTACTGGGTGATGGTAGTTGAATGAGAATACTTGAGCAAGGAGTATTCTCACTCTCCTCGAGGACCAGTGAGTCAGGGGAGATAAAAGTACAAGAAGTGCTGAAAAGGA